TTTCACTAGATTTTTATAGAATTTTTACCGAGACAAGACTTGTCAACACTTGCTATGGCATCGTCTGGGCGCCAATTCGGCGGCCTTTTTTCCAACCCTCTCGGCTCTACAGATTTAATTGAAGCAAAGATTCTAGATGCACCAGCTAACATGATATGGCATTGCATCTAATAATGCTTGATAAGAGCCCAATTCACATGACACACATGCATTCAGATATACTTTGAATATGTGGTTGTTTCATTCTTCTTTTCAACTCTACATATAAGAAGTGGGTTGACCTCGTTGTCGCAACTTGGTCTTGTTTTCAGGGAGATCATGTAGAACACACCTAGTCCGAAGTCGTCTGCCATAGTAGTTGTCATGATTCACAGCATCTGACCGTAGACCTGATACATTCTCAAGTCCACGGTCAGATGCCTGGAATCATGACAACTACTATGGCAGACGACTTCGGACTAGGTGTGTTCTACATGATCTCCCTGAAAACAAGACCAAGTTGCGACAACGAGGTCAACCAACTTCTATCAATCGAAAGGAGACTGCGACCACACCAGAGCCCACAACATCTTGGTCTTCATATATTTAATTTACATATAAGTTTTGATTCCAAATGTCACTTGGACGAATGGTCAGCTTTGTCTTTTTATAAACTACACCTTTTCACCCACTAATTGCAGTTCCTACATTTGACTGTTTTCAACTTTTCCTCATCTACTGTTGCTCGGCATGTTGTATGCAATAGTTTCACACCTTTAATTTGTGCCATAATTTGTTGTTAAACAATAAATAGTTTAGCGAACTTCAGAAACTAGGCAGTAAATCACATCTTATTTCTGAATAAATACGTAAATTGTGAACTGCACAAATGTTACCTGAATCTTCTTCATTATTCTCCAAGCCAAAAAAACCCGTTGCTCTTTCCATTTTCACTGACGAAATTGTTACTATCGCATGAGCTCTTTTCTTAACCATGAGAGCACCTTCAATAATATCTCTTGCCATCCTTTTTTTTATAATCTCATGTGAGTATGAATAATTTAAGTTATCTGCATGAACTATGCAGCACTGATGATGCTGGTGTGGTCCAATTTATTTCAAATCCGAGATTTAGTCAAGTTGAATAAACATTTTGTGTGATATGGATAGGCGAGCTTTAGTGGCATCGTAGGCTATACTCATCTCATTTTTGATAATCCATTTTTCATTCCTTAACTCCTCTTAAACGAACTATTGTGACTCAAGTTCATGCTTAAGATGTACCAGTAATTTAGGAGCTTACTTAGACTGGCTGGAACCTATTGAGTTCAATTCTCTGTGGTTTCTTCTCATGTTTAATCGGCCGTCACTACTGCCATGCTTGAATTCGCATCACAGAGCTCGTGGTCCTTTCAAAGAAGCTAATAGTGTTTTTTGGCTAGTTGAGCATCTCAGGAGATTCTTATCATTCATGCCGTCCTCGTATTCAAAACCGACTCAATTCAAAAATTTTTGGATTACCTCATTTGGTAAAAGAAATCATATTTTAGCAACTTTTACCGTATTATCTTGAACGCATTTTTAACCTTGCATTTTTACCTACTCCTTACACGAAGTTTTTATTTAATTTTTCAGAGCCTTGCCTTCCTAAAAGTTGTAATTATTCAGGATGGTTAACGTGTCGTGCTCGCATTCTGCTCTGTCACGGTTCGACTCCCGCAGAGGGTGTTGATAAGGCGAGGTCGAAACTGTAGTCCACCCTGGATGAGAACAACTTTTGGGAAGACATGGTTCTATAAAATTCAATGGAAACATCAGCTCGTTCATATCCTTTTAGGAACATTCTACTCATAATTTCGACTTATTTTTTACTTTCTTCCCATTAATTAATTATGTAATTTTTAGAATTAATAATTTTAATTACGCTTGCAAAACTAATTTAAACAAAAGGAAATCTTTTCTTATACTTTCAATCTATTTAGAGATGTTAAAATATTTTTCACTCAAATACATATTCGGCATCACTTAATTTTTCCATAAGTCCTCTTTAATTTAACTTATTCAAAGTATGAAATACAGAATAGTCTATTCACCCGATTTCTTCTATCAAGCTTTTTGATTTTACTTGCACAGTATATCGTTGTGTGATAATAGGGAAATTTGTGTCTTCGCTATCCATGACTTCACCTCTCTAAGACTCTTGCAAATTTCACCAAGTTGGTGAAGGTATAGTCTATATATAAGCACTTCATCATAATTTAGGAGGGAATAATGGATTTCCCTAACTTTTCTGACCCATAATGTTTTCTTCCTGCATGGTATACATTCTATATATTTTTCATTATATTTATCTATTTATCCAATTCAGCTTCCTTGCAGCTAGGTTGTTGCATTTAAATTCTTCCTAATTACTCCATATAATTGTTAATACTTTCCATTCTATTCATTTTCCTTAAATATTGCCTTAAATTCATGACGTATCAGTCTAAACCATCAAACTTAACTGTCCTTACTAGTTTTAAATTGGCTGGTCATAGGGCATTATCTGGATCCGCACATCACCATGAACACGGTTCCATATAATTTAATAAACCATATGAAATTAAGGAAAAATTAATAGATTATCCTTGATAAATAGAGTTAGGATGATGGGTGTTTGTGGAAGAAAACCTCATCGGGTTGCTGGGACGGTGTAAGAGAGTGCACTTTCAAGTACTCCATTAGAATTGTTTATTAAAAATATATTTTTGAGGTGCAAATAATACTGAATATATCCTATGATCCTTATATGAGATTATTCGTTTATTTCGAGCTGTGGCTAGGATATGTCTATGCATTTTTGTCAAATTGTGCATCGGTTACACCCCTCCACTTTGGGTCGAATGAAATAGGGATAACTTTAAAGAAGAGCATTTTATTTTCAATAATTTTTAAAATATTTTTGAAAACGCTAAAAATGATGCATCAAATGAAGGCGTTTCTAGCACTTATTTTTGTACGGCCCTTCCATATTTAAATGTTTTAATATTTGACGCCAGCAAAGTGATAAACTAATGCGTTGTTCCTCGAATCCATAGAACCGAAAAGGTACTGGCCTCATCTGAGCCGAGCGAAGCTACTCCATGCTTTCAGTCTTGACCATTATTCTCAACAGCTCAAAAGCTTTTGGGCTGCACTAAGCCTTTCACCTGAATTCTCCTATTTCAGCGCGTAAGGTCATTCGAGAAAAATTCATCATTTGTGAGCTGCTTAAGAGATACATCAGTCCTCAAAGTTTTGCCACTTTAAAATTCCTCCAGCTTCTCTCAGCTTAATTTAAAAAACACAAATATTTGGTTCGAGGCATAATTTGAGGTCAAATTTATGAAAATTTCATCTTATTTTATATATATGTTTTCATTCAGCGACTATATTATGGATGAATCCTCTTATTTCAAAAACTTCCGTACATTTTTACTTTCTCGATGATAGCTTTTCGGATAATGCCGAATGGAACTTTCACCGACCTCCATGGTTAAAGTGAAACAAGCCATTAGAATTTATCACAATTAGCAGTCAGAAACAAGTGACTATCCGGTAGAAAAGAAGACACACATTGCTTTGAGCAAACCAAAACCAAGATCTGTTGTGGAGAGCCTTCAGAAGTTTGTAGCATTTGAAGCAAATTTTAATTTGCCCTCCATGCTATAATGTCTGAAAAGGATCCAATAACAGTAAACGGACCATAATTTAGCCCTTCTATGTATAATAGTATTATAATAAGAGTATATATTTATATATAAATGTATGTCGTTTGCGACTTTAGAAAAATGTCAAAACGGCCATTTATCTTGATTCTATCAAAAATGGTGGGGCCTGTAGTGCCGCAATTAAAGAAAATCAAAGAAACTGTACCGCTTGAAGTGTTGCCCTTCAGCATTAATCATCGTTACCTTTAGAGTATATGCACAATATTGACATCCAGTCTTGTAAAATGCTGAGATGTGATAATTGGTTCAAGACTTCACTGTCCACTTTATGTCGTTCGTGTCGCCATATCCATCTTTTCGGTTTAATTGTCGTCAAATACGGAATTCCCGCTGCGTGTGGTAGAAATTTCCTGTTCTTTTTGATGAGTGTCAAGCTCGCTGTGAAGGACATTCGATAGATGGTATTAGCCGCAGGGAGAGACTCGGCGTCTGCTTTTTTAGCATCCTTCCTCTAAGTAGTTAAAAGAAGCTTATTATAGACGTAAATTAAAGTTTTGCTTCAGTTCCCTGATCCTTGTTCCACTGAACTCATCAAAAAGACTTACTATGAATCCGAAAACACGTACGACAGTACCTAACTCACATAGTGCTGGTTCTAGGGGATTTAGGAAAACTTCGAAAATTCTACCTCAGCTCAGCCTCTAGAAAGTATAAGCACCACCATTGTCAATTTACCGTCGTTGTTTTCATAGAGAATATGCCATTTAATGTCCACATTTTCGCCAAAGTCTGCCTGTTTTAATTGTTATGGTCCCAATATATGACTTGCATCTGCTCGGCTTCATTCTGGTTCTTGCTAGTGCTTGAGAAAAATAACATGTTATTTCCACGCTGCCATTCCACTTTCCCTCTCTTTATGCAAACCTTTTGCTAATCTTTTGAAATATCCAGTATTTTTAAACGATAGCCTAGTTACTCAAGCAAATTTGCCTCATATTCATCATCTTCCCTGTTATCCGCCGGCACCCATCCCTGTGAAACTATGCAGGGCAACCAGGTCTCGAATCCCGATCTGGAGGTTAATGAGACAAGTTTAAGAAAAGTCGAAACTGCAGTCCTTTATGGGAGGGAAGTTAAGTAAAATGCTATCTCATCTGGAGGTCTACTCACGTAATTGAAGAAAAAACTTCTCGTTCAGTCCTTAAATAACCTTAGGCGTTCTTAACTGATCAGAAGATAGAGTAGAAAATGCGTAAATGTGTTTTTATTTGCAGAATATTGTCTTAAATCTTCATACTTTTAGTACAGTACTTATTTTTTCTTCTTCCTCTTCTTGCTGCTCTTTCTGAGGCTGATTTGCTAGTACATATAATCGATTACCATGCATGAAATAAAAACTGTACTGCCTCTTATTATTATTATTATTATTATTATTATTATTATTATTAATAGTAGTAGTAGTAGTAGTAGTAGTAGTAGTAGTAGTAGTAGTATGGAAAGCCCTAATTTGATTAGTATCGATAATAGTATAATATGATATATAGGAATATACATAATAAAATTAACACAAATATAGTATACATAATTAACAATATAATATAATACAATTAATAAGTGTGGTTCAATCTTTATTTTAATCTTTTTTATATCTAGCGCTTGTGCCTCCGAAGCAAGCCAAAGCCTCCAAAGCGATTTCCCAGACACACACCTTCAGACAGACAGCCAAGCGGTTAGTTCCATCGGTTGTCATTTATATGCTCAAAGGCAATCCAGTTCCGGAGGCCAAATTCGACCTTATCGGCGACGTCGGTTTGCTCCGTTGTTACCTTCAGGTCCCCTGCTTGAAGTGGAACCGGTTCCACTGTCGCCTCTTCTTTGGTCATCGCAGGCAGGCTTGTCGAGTTGTCATTTTGACCCCAGCGATTTGGTACCTGTGACGGAGGCAGCTCCGATTATGGTGACCGGTGAGACGGAAACAATATCCCCGGACTCGAGCAAGACTTTCGGATTTGTTGGTGCCCTGGCCAGGCATAAACCGGCCCCTTCTGACCGACTTCTTACAGGAGTAGGCCAATCGAATCTTTCAGCTCATCTTGGAAAGGTAAAATGGAAGCAAACTCTATCGTTTATTTAGACCTTCACGTTAACCCCTTTGGCGACTTTTTAATCCCAGAGTTGTAGTCTTTCCTTTAAAGTGGAAAGTCGTCTATTATTCCTTCTAGAACCTTGAGTGCAGTCCTTTTGCAGCCCCACCCAATGCGTTGGAGTTAAAATAAATTAGTTTTCTGCCAACACTTCAGAGGAGTAATAATTTCATTTGAAAGTGTGACGCAAAAATCGAAGGCTTGATCCTAACATAAGGCAAGCTCGGGCCGTCCCTTGCTACCTCTATACCACAACAACTGGCAACAGTGATAGTAATGCAAACACAATTATAAATATCCCAGTTAATACATTATTTAAAATTATCTGCACTACTTCCACTACTACTGAAGCTATTGTTGTTTCCATTATTACTACTATCAATCATGGCACTGATACTACTGATACTAATGATTATAGTTTTTATAATAATACTTTTAGTTCTAATCCAACATCAACTATTTTTTATCATCTATCATTTTTATTATTCTAGAAGTAGTAGTGACACATATTTATGCTTCCTCATGCTTACATTCAAACGCTCTTCCTTTAATGTGCAACACCTAAATTACTATATTTCCTGTTAGTGCTTTCTAACTAATTACGTACAAAGTGAAGACTTTTAAATATGCCAACGGTTCATATTCCGAAGCACATACGACACTCATTTAGCACGTGAGTTCTCGGTAAAACTAAATTAAAGAAAATCTTCGTGTTCATGTGCGTGCCTATTTAAGCCAGCACACGTACACACGCATGTATAATAAACCTACGTAAATATGTGTAACTCAGGTCAAAGTCATCCTTCGCGTCATGGGCCCATCTGCCTGCAAAGGAGGTGGCCAAAAATTGCCTTTAGCGACTCGGGCAGTGGAAAACTCTTCAGGCCTATTATTGTCAGGGCCTTTCATTCGAGCCTCTTCCGGAAGTGGCAATTCTAACAACCTCGGAGGTATCGCCACAAACGTTACCGATGAAAGGAGCAGCAAGCCTGCGGGTCCTAATCTTCCAGCCCAAACATTATATCCACCTCCACCTACATCGGCGTCTCTTCAGGCCTCATCTCCAGGGCCAACGTCAACGCTGACGCCAACTTACGTTGCCACGACCGGTCATGGGGCTCTTAGTCCCGGGGAAGTAGGGGCCAATTGCCTTTATGTTGACCAGACCAGACAGCAGGTAACGCTTGTGGAACCGGTGGATGGAGTGCCGTCACATCGAAGGACAGTGCCAAAGCTGTTCGCGATGGACGCCATTTTCATGGAGGAAGACGACCTGGTAAGTTGGTCCCAGGGGCTAGTTAAGACAGAGAAATGACAAGATGATTTGTTGTTTGACTTTCTCGTGTAAAATAGTTTCACCTAGTCGGAGTCAAAGTGAATGACACTGTTTGGCTTCCATCTGAGGATTTCATTCCGCGACAACACTTCTGTACATGAATCCTTTTTATTCCATTAATTGTTCAAGCATAACTTTAATCGAATTTATGAAGACCAAGATAGTTGACCTTTTATAGCATCGCAGTCTCCTTACGTTCTTTAGTAGTTGGTTGGCCTTATTTGAGGCACTTGGTCATATTGGCAGGAAGACCCAGAGGAACGCTCCTTCTCCGGAGTTCATAGTATGCATCATCATTTCCAGAGTCGGAACGTGAACTTGGTACATTTCCAGACGGCATCGTCAGTGAGTCTTGCCATTCCTAGCACCACTCAACAATTCGTCAAAGAGACAAGATACTAGGGCATAGGATGTCATAGACTTGGCACGAAAGATACGGCGGAGACTAGAACTGGTAGACGTGTTTGATCATAGACATGGTCGATGTAGCAAAGACTTGACGATGAGAATTACTCGGGATCTATAGCCTCGAGTTAGTCTTCCATTCTGCTTAAGAATCCAGACGTTGTCGGTATACGTGCCGTCGGGGGCTTGAGGCAGTGTGAGAAATACCGACTCGATTAACCCAGATAGGGTGGCAGGAGACGAGTCAAATACCTGAAGAAGGGGAATCAGATATGACTTATAGGAAGAGGATTGCGCAATGGTATGGCAGATTCAGATCAACCTTCCCAACACAATGGTAGCGGGTGGGGTGTGAAGAGGTCTCATGAAATGCGCTCGAAAGGGCACACCATACC